GTCTTCCAAGCTACGAGAATCGCTGCCAATTGATCAATATCGAGCCCTTACGTATCCGAAGAGATGTTTTCAGAGCCTTAACCGTCGCCGATACTCTGCAAGGAAGAATTGACTGCGAAGCAATTCTGCAACAAGTGAACATTAATGTTCAACCTCGATCACTACGCAACAGTCTTATGCTGAGACTTCCACTTCTTCGAACTAATTATAGCATAGGGAGCGCTATTTACGGCTTGCAGCTAGTGTTCAACCGAGTAGCGTCGATGTTCGATTTCCACTTGACACGGAATATGCTTCGCCGAAGATTCTCTGCCTTTTTTGCTGACCGAAGGCGCTTGATACCCAACAGCTAAGTGTAAAATTTAAGACTTATAAATTTTTAGTAACTTGACAATGCTTTCCAAGTTATTTTCGTTTGTAACTGTAGTAACTGTAGTATATGTATGTCGTCTGTATAATCTGTACTTTTTTACAACACATCATTGGGACTATTTCTAGTCTGTTGATGCAACCATAACAAATAAACAAATAAACAAATATCACAATTTACCTAACCAGGTACCTAAATTCAGTCTTCAACCGGTACACACAAAAAATAAACGTTAATAGAATTAAAAAAACCGTTGGTAGAATTAAAAGTTTGCATTGGTTCTTTTTGGTAGAAAGTCAGAAACTTTCAATTGCAAAAGACATGAACAGTTAAAATAAAAATGCTGAATCCTTTGATTTTAAAAGTCACAACTTTTATGATTAAATTTTATAAATGTCAAATTAAAAGTTTCTACTTTTGAAATGAAATTTTAGAACTGTCAAATTAAGAGTAGGTTAGGTCAAAATAAAGCGTAGTTAATCAAATAAAATTTTATTTCTTTTTAAACAATAAGTTCATTCTTTTGATTTTTACGTATAGGGTATACGTCCCTAACCTCGGTCTAATATGCAGCCATCGATTACGTTTTTAATCATAACTCATCAATGAATTTACCTGCAAACGATATTCTACTGCTAAATGGTATGCTTAGATATGCTTATCATGTCGTTTGCTATCAGAAACCACGAAAAGTTGAAAAACTTACTTTTTTTAAGACAATAACTCACGAGGGAAATGTATGTAATATGGGTCTATTGTCCCCAAATTGGGTCTATTTATGGATGCAACTTCGTCCTATCTTGTTTGATCCTCAAAAAAACGCTCTTGGTAACGTTTTCTGATGTATTTTTTTTTATCACTATCACTGTTAACTTAATGCTCTTCATTCCTCAAAACATTTCTTAGAGAAAATTTTACGAAAACTACATTAAATCACTCAATTTAAAAATTAAAAATTAAAAATTTCGCTTATCGTCTTTTGACCGCAGAATATCTAAATCAGAACATTGTGATGTTCATTATACAGGTTTGGCAGAAAAAATCTCCCTTCCTGTTCGTTCCTTATCATCCAAATGCAAAACAACATTGTTGACGTTACTCTTATTGCTATATGCTGTCAAATGAATTTCATGGGCCATAGTTAGGAACATAGAAAAGAAATGTGTCCCTAAAGTTGGGTCCATGTTTTACTTGTGAAAACGTTGTTAAACAATTAAAATAAACATAAAATATTCAAACAGCAACTGTAAGTTTTACGTCTAGTGTGTATTATCAGGTAATTCCAATCAATAAATGCCATAATCAGGCCATTTGATGATCGTCAGTCAACCTTCCCATCTTAACCTTATAAGTCATGGCGGCTAAAAACTCCGAACATTGTGATATTCTCAACCAGTTTTATTACTTACGAGAGCTGAAAATGTATTGAAATGTTGTGATATAAATTGATTTGTGTGTGGTACACATTTATCAACCATCAGTGATCAATATTTTCCTTATTTTTTGTGTAATATTCCTTAATTAATTATTTATTTGCGTGATAGGCCGAATGAAAGGACTAGACCCACATTACATACCGTAACCCTATATATATATTTTTAAATGTAAAACTAACAAAAACAAAATTAAAAATACTGAATTGTGGAATTGTCCACCAGCATGTCGTCAGCATCTGTTGAGCCGTCCATGCAATCCACTCCCCCTGCTTCAACCTTAAACTGCGTGGTGCTACCGTTTCAGCCATCTGGCTCAGAGTCCGGTGTGACCCAATCCGGAACGATGATCTTACTTTTGACAGATGCTGAAATTTCCGAAAAGAAAGCGATTCTATTATCATAAAAAACTCTCTAGTCAGAACAAGGCATAATCGTAGATAAACTTACCATATTCATCCTGTGGTATCGCCGTATTTTATTTATATTTTCAGCCGGTCTAGCTCACGGATGATCAGGTGAATGCAGCAGGGATTTGTTTTGAAAACTGGTCGAATACAAATTAATAAAGCAAGCTTTTCAATTCTCGTTTTGCGCGTTTTTATTTTTATTTACTCACGTTATTTAAAAACTAACCAGAAACGAGTAGAAACCTACCCCCGAAGAAGTTGTTTTGACAGTAAAACAATTTTTGATTTGAAAATCTGCACTTTTAAAACTACAAGTTAAAATCAAAACATCTACTTTTGGATTGAAAATATCCTTGTTGTTTCAAATATTTTCATAGTTCAAGTAACAAATTTTGGGGTGCTTTTAAATTGAAAGGTTAATATTTTTACTGATACAATTTTCGTTTTTTGTGAGTAGATGCATGCTACGATGTGTGGTTTTAAGGTAGCATGCTAAAGAGTCTCGAGTATCCGTTTCCTTGATCTCTATTAAGCAATGTTGATGGATTACATTTAAATATTTCTAAACTTTCAGCTACGTCTAGTTTCCAAGGCGAAGATACAGTCCGCAGGATATTAATGTTATCCTTTGGCAAATTGTGCCCCTTTGTAACGATATGTTCTGCAACTTTGGATTTAAATTTATAATGAAGTCCTTTATCCATCTCTTTGTTAGCCTTTTTTACCTCTGCGATGTGTTCCTTAAACCTTGTTTCCAAAGTTCTTTTCGTCTGACCAATGTAGGTTTTATCACAGAGAACAGACGTTGAGGCTTGAACAAAATATCTCTAAAAACTTGTGTAAAGAGTCCTATTTGACTTAAGCGCCACTAACGGCGACTTCCCCACTTATAAACCCTCTTTGACAACATGATGGCGCTGGCATTGCAAAACTTACACTAGACACTAAGTGCTGGTAGCGCCAAGTGGCAATTTTCAGCAGATAATACTAGCGCCAAATTGGTCGAAAGTGATAAATTTATAGAGGAAATCAGGAGATGCTAGCGCTACGTAACGGCGACGTTTCCACTTAACTTTACACAAGTTTCTGACCGAACTTGGACGTCTGTTCTCTGTGGGAGGGGGTCAATCCTCAACAGTCTGGGTAACTATTGGTGACTCGATTTCACATGACTTTTTCTTTTGATTCGATTAACGTGCAGAATAATAATAAATTGAGTACATCGCAATATTTTGCACATTTCTCGCGTCACTTTTCAAATAGACCAATGTAACAAATGTAAACAAATCGAGTTAAGTGATACAAACTATTGCTCTTCTATCATTGTATGTGGTACAAAAACATTACTTTCATTTATTTAAGATAATCATAGTTAAAAAAATGTCCAATGTACAGTTTGAAATGATGGGTACATGTTTGTTACTTCGGTCATTCGGAGTGCCTAACATGATTGGTGCTCATTTTCTAAAGGCGGGGCCAATCTAAAGTTAGGTACTCTACTGCGGGGCCAATCTTAAGTTAGGTGCTGAAAAAAGCTCATTGAGATCGATAGATGCGCCTTTATTCCGCTCTATTTCAACACCAGAAGCACAGACAAACAGACATAAATCTTAGAAGAAAATTCTTCAAAAAACATCGTCAAGCGTATTTTGCATGCGCACTAGCACCACCTATCATCCATATTCCCAAGCACTGTTTTGCAACCGGAGCATCCCTCGTTCATACATGTTTTTCACTAGTTGCTTTTCCCTCGTTCTGTCAACGCGTCAGCTATGTTGAATAAAAACAAAACAGATGGAAGTCAGTGATGTCGGCTCTACGAAATTTTCCTTGAAGCCAATCTAAAGTTAGGTACTCTACTATGACATCTGTGAAAGGGAATCTAGTATCATGTAGAACAAATCGTCCAATGTAACACTAATTGATTATGTAATGGAGAAAAATCGTCCAATGTAACATGACCGATGTACAACTTGACTAGTCAAAACGTCCTATGTGGTTTTTGCTATATTGAAATTCAAATCAAAATTGCGATTTTTCCGTTTCTACTGAATTTTCAACGTTATTATTCACTGACTACATTGAAAATAGTATTGCAAAATGTATTGTTTCTAAGTTAAAATAATAATCTGTCGAACTTCAACTTCGATTTTCTCAAAATGGTGGATATGTTACATTGGTCTATTTGAAAAGTGACGCGAGATTTCTTGGTGCTATTAGTTAACCAACTATAAGATCAATTAATCAATAGAGTTTGAATATTGTTTTTGATTCCAAAAAAACTATTTGAATTTGAGAAGCACACGAAACAAAAAGGTGATTGAATTTCTGTTCGATTGCAACACTCTTAAATTTAATCTAGTAAGAATAAGAAATCCTCGGAAAATTGTAATCGGAATGTTCCATTGGCTCAGATTTTGACAGTTCATATGGCTCAAAACATTCTGTCCGCCTATCTGAGTATTTCTAGTTTCCACCGGTTGGTATTTCTCAAAAGTGAGTAACTATAGGTTTACTCACTTTAGAGTAGTTCACTTTTACCGAGAGTATAGTTTTGCTCACTTTTGAGGAACATAGAAGGAGCGTGTAAGAATTGTTTAGCTGTCAAAAATATCGAATATAATGCTCGCAGGGTTGCCTGCACCGAGGCTTTCACACCAGAATTTAATGTATCGATGGCTATTACACGAATACATCGAAATATGGACCACCAGCACCAGCCACATTAGAGAGCCATCGACATATTGAATTCGCGGCCCTACCTCCTGTGTTGTGCGTGAGCGGAACTCGATCGGAATCATCGCGGAATAAAGTTTTCTGTTCCTTGCAGCTTTTCCCCCAACCTGCTTCCGGTACCGTTACCTTCCGGAAAGAGCTTTGTTGTCGTGTGTGCTAAAAGTACTTGCTTCGGTGACGTTTCGCTTCGGGAAAAATCGATTTTAATTTTGTGCGGCAAGTGAAAATCTGGAACGCTGCTTGGTCGCGACGAGGTGCGATTTTGTTTGCTTCGTAGCGCAAGTGAGACACCAATACACATTTAAAAGGGACACAGCGCTGACTGACAAGCCGGCTGTACGAACGAAAGAGATCGATAGAGGACAGCCAGAGACCGAACTGTCAAAAATTTTTGCTTGCCTTTTGTCGTTCTGGTTGGCAGACGCTTTCGAGGAAAAAAGTTATCGTCGATTTCTGAAGATTTTCGATTCAATTGGGACGTTCTGTGTGGGATCAAGTTTGGTTTAGTTTGAGCGCTTCATACGGAGAAAGATGCTGCAGAAAAAACCAGCCGGCGGATTGTATGATCCGATGATAATTCCTCGCGTCAAGCAGGTAAGAGAATGCCGTTCTGGAGGGAGGGCTCCGCCGTGGACGGACGGACGGGCTCGCCAAGAGCCAAAATGGAGTCTGTTTTTGTTTTGAGGTTAGGGTTTTTGCATGTTATCTGGCTTCTGTTGGGATAGGCAGAGCTGCCAGGTGAGCGGAACTTTTGTCCGTAACAGCTTGTGTTCTGATCATGAGTTTGACAAACATCAATAATCAATACCGATTCAATAATCAATACCGATTCAATATTCTTTCGCTTCTATATCGATAAATTAGTTTGATTTAAGACTTTCGTAGACTGTAATGATGTCGAAAAATGTTGACAGCAACTGGGATTTTTCTTATAAACAATGCGATGTATAGAAGCGTAAAAACTATAACCTTTTCCTTTCGGTTTCCAGTACCTCGAGGAAAATGTTCACCAAACGTATGTGGACGTTGGTGTGATGGCCCGGGAGCTGCAGGAACGCTACCGGGAGTACAACAGGCGCAAAGCCGTCCCGTTCCGTTTGCTGGTGGAGCAGGCCTACAAAACCGTACTCCACAGCTACGGTTTGGACAGCAATCCGTCGAGTGAAAACGAAGACGACGGCAATTCGGATCTGGAGGTCATGGAAGATGGTGCCGGTGGCGGTGGTAATGCTAACCATATGAACGATACGCTTACCAACATGTATATGAACAATAAGAATAAACCTCCAGGTAGTGGTGGTGGTGCTGCTGCCGCCTCTGGTTCCGCTGGAGCCAACGATGGTGAAGCGATCGACATCAGCAGTGACGAGGAAGAAGGGGGTGCCGATTCGCGCGACAAAGACAAGGCTGTTTCGACGACCAGCAACAGCATGAGGCTGATTGAGAGTGAGTTGATCTTCGGTTCGAAAACCGTATGAAATGTCTAAAAATTTTGGTTCATTTTCCAGCTCAAATTGCTTCAAACAAGCACATCACGGTAACGAAAGTAACCCGTGCTGACAAGCCACGTTCCGGGGACGAGGCAGTCGATTCCAGTAACGGTAGCTCGAATGGTCCCAGAAGACCCGCTGAGCAGTTACCTGCCAGCCAGCCCAAACGCCGTCGGTTGGATCAGCCTCAGAATTCGGAAGTCAGCAACAGTTCAAATCCGTTATTGCCCTATCCAACGCCTATGGCTCCAGCACGGACTGCACCACAAAGTAATAGAGGTGGTGGCATGGCAAGGTCAGAATCCAGTGCGCCGACGGCTGCTCCGCGCTCAAAGCGCTTCAAGAAGGAAGTTTGTGCTCGATTCGTTGACTCCTCGTTCGAAGACGTTGGCGGCATGGATAAAATTTTGCGTGAGTTGTGCGAACTCTTGTTGCACGTCAAACATCCGGAAGTTTATCGTCACGTGGGCCTTCCTCCGCCGCGTGGATTTCTGCTACATGGACCTCCTGGTTCAGGAAAAACACTGCTGGCTCATGCAATCGCTGGGGTAAGTTTTGAGTTATTGATTACACTAAAATTGTTCAATTAGCAATAATTTGCTATTTTAGCAATTGAAAATCGGTCTGGTGGAAGTTCCGGCTACGGAGCTGGTTGCTGGTGTTTCCGGAGAGTCAGAGGAGCGTATCAGAGAGGTATTCGAGCAAGCAGCGGTCCTTTCGCCTTGCGTACTATTCATTGACGAGATAGATGCCATTTCGTCCAATCGAGTCAATGCCCAAAAGGATATGGAGCGTCGTATTGTGGCACAGCTGCTGAGCAGCCTGGACAATTTGCCCAAACTGGAGGGTGGTGATGGTGTGCTGGTTATTGGTGCGACAAATCGGGCCGATGCCCTGGATCCAGCACTGCGACGTGTCGGACGGTTTGATCAGGAGATTTCTCTTGGCATTCCGGATCGTCAAGCCAGAGCTCAGATTCTGAAGATTATCTGCAGGAATTTGAAGATTGAGCAATCGATCGACTTCGATGAGTTGGCTAAACTTACGCCGGGTTACGTTGGTGCTGATTTGTTGGCACTGGCTACTCGGGCGGCCACTACGGCTATCAAGAGGTAAGAAACGTAAGCGTTTTGTTTGAGTGAAGGCGTTACTGAATGGGGGTTGTTTTGTTTTCCAGAATGTTGACGGAACACGAGCGTCAGCAGTTAATTGAGAAGAGCAGACTTGATATAGAGCTGGAGGCCGCTCGACGCAAGCGGGGTCAGGAACAGTTACATAAGAAGGCTGACGACGACGATGACGTGATGGAGGTGAACGAGGCGTCGCAGGCGGCTGAGATTACCAAGAACAAATTCAACGGGGATGTGTCGGCGGACGATGTCGTAGCCGTGGAGGATGACGTCGAAGAGGTGGTAAACCTGGATGATGACAAGGACGAGCCAAAGGAAGCCGAGCAAACAGAAGCTGTGGTGACTGAGAAAGTTGCCGAGGTTCGCGCTGAGGAGGAAAAGAAAGACGAGGAGAAGAAGGACGAAGAGAAGAAGGACGAAGAGAAGAAGGACGAGGAGAAGAAGGACGAGGAGAAAACGGACGCAGAGAAGATAGCCGAGGAGAAGACAGGCGAGGAGAAAAAGGACGAAGAGAAGAAAGATGAAGAGAGTAAGGTGGACGAAGGTAAAGTTGATTCTGCAGAAGCCAAACCGGCTGAGGAAGGCAAAAAAGATGATGGTGAAACAAAGGAAGTAGACGCAAGCGAAAAGAAGGTTGACGAAGAACCCAAACCGGAAGAAGCGAAGACCGCTAACGAAGATGTTGAAATGGCTGCTGACAGTAGCACCTCGGGAGATAAGGTTGAACCCGAGGAACCAAAATCTACGACAGCAGTTGTAGAATCAATGCCAGCAGAATCGAGTGAAGCCGAAAAGAAGGCTGATGAACCCATGGAGACAGAAACGGTTCAGGAAGCGGAGGCTCCTGTTGAGAAACCACAACAGGAAGAGAAGGAAACGGTCGTGGAAAGTCTAGCTCCAGCAGTGGAGAAACGTGCTCCCACTCCTGTTCTCACCCTAGACAAAATGATACATCTTTTGCTGGACCATTCGAATCCTTTGCCGGATGAAGAGTTGGAAAGTTTGTGCATTCAACGATCAGACTTCCTGGAGTCTTTAAAAACAGTTCAACCATCTGCCAAGCGAGAAGGTTTTATCACTGTGCCGGACGTCACTTGGGATGACATCGGCTCATTGGGTGACATCCGAGAAGAGTTGAAACTGGCCATCCTTGCTCCGGTCAAATTCCCTCAACGTTTGAAAATGCTGGGTCTTACCTCCCCGTCTGGTGTATTACTGTGCGGTCCACCGGGATGCGGTAAAACTCTGTTGGCAAAGGCCGTTGCCAATGAGGCTGGTATCAACTTCATTTCCGTAAAAGGACCCGAGCTGTTAAACATGGTAAGTTACACTTTTCATTTCTAAAACAGGAGCTGAATCTACCAAATTTTGCCTTTCATTTACAGTACGTCGGTGAATCGGAACGTGCCGTGCGTCAGTGTTTCCAACGTGCTCGCAACTCAGCCCCGTGTGTCATCTTCTTCGACGAGTTCGACTCGCTCTGCCCCAAGCGATCGGACAATTCCGAAGGTGGCGCCGGAATGCGAGTGGTGAATCAACTGCTCACCGAAATGGACGGCATCGAGGAGCGAAAGGGCGTATTCTTGATGGCAGCCACCAACCGACCGGACATTGTAGATCCCGCCGTTCTTCGCCCTGGTCGCTTGGACAAAATCCTGTACGTCGGCTTGCCGGCGGAAGACGATCGGGCAGACATTTTGCGAGCACTCACCAAAAACCGCACCCAACCTCCACTGGCCGATGATGTTGATTTGGCAGTCGTTGCTCGACTATCCCAAGGCTATACCGGAGCCGATTTGGCCGGCCTCGTGAGACAAGCATCGCTGCAGACTTTGAAGGATTCGATAGCGGAATGCAGTAGCGACGATAAGGCTTCGACCGAGTCGGAACAGGATCTCAAAGTTGCAATGGTTCACTTCCAGGAAGCGATACGAACTATCAAACCATCCGTCAATGAAGAGGTAAGGTGTTGGAAGACTTTCCCATTGATAGCTTTATTAACTTTGGAACTTATTCTCATCCATCAACAGGACACAAAGCACTACGAACGATTGAAGCGGAAGTACGGCTCAGAAACGGTGGCACAGTAAACAGTGGACCTCCTATAGGTTTTCTAAGGACAAGATTCAGCACTCTAGATTTAAAGAAACAAAATAATACTGATACCTACCTGCAACAACAAATCTTATTGCACGAGTAGCAGAAAGTGCAGCAGCATCAAGTAGGGGAATGAAAAGTTGATTCCGTAAATATTAACAAACCACAATTAATACACACTAGTGAAAGAGTGGATCTTTCTACTGAAAGATGAATGAACGCAACTTCGGTTAGTTTAAGACACAAAATGAGTAAACGTCGCAAGCTATATCGGGAAGTGTGCCAGAGTCGAAGCATTTGATCAATCCCCATTACGTCTCTGACCATCATCGAACGGTTTGAATAATCGATGTTTGTTTGTTTTAGCTATTAGAACTATTATAATTTCTGTAAAAGTGAAAAAAAAAATCGAACACAATGTTTGATTGGTGTGAAGGCAAATGGAAACTACTCTCCCATACTTTTTTTTTATGATTCCTCATTGATACAAAAAAAGTAGATTTGACAAACACTGACATACCTACAGGATGTAAAAGTATAATGAATAAAAAAAAATGCAAAAGGAAGGATCATCTCTCATCTCAGAGTGTCGTTTTGCTACGAGTGAAAGAAATCTTCGGGCTGATGGCCACCTGCATGACCATGGCCTGGATGCCGATCCAGGTTTCGTCGCAAATGCGGGCAATGTTCGTCTCGGGCGCATGGAATCCCTTGCTGGCTATTTCCATGACCAGCGCAAACGGGACTTTCTCGATGTCGTGGGCATAATCGATGCTCGACCCTCCGACGGCGATGTTGAGAAAGGACGACGCACTGCCGCACCGATACTTGAGGCCGGTGGCACGAAGGATTGCATTCGCACCGGCCTGGGCTACTTCGTGTTGGTTTTTCCAGTTGTACGGGAGGGTTCTGTTGAGAGGATAACAAAAAAATGATGGTCAAATTGTGGCTGAGTAAAATAAAGCCCACCGTAACAGATGAGTAGAGCATTGCACCGCAAACAACAGCAGTGACATCTGATGGCCAATAAGCGCATAACCATCTATTTAGCCATCACTACGCCCTCCGATAAACCCATTTGCGTTCTAACAGATTCTGCCAGCGTTTTATGTGCCTTGAATTCAGCAACATCAAAACATCCCTGGATCCAAGGCATACAAAAGACCGCACCACCGAACACCTCATTTGTCTGGGTACCTGGTCATTGTGGTATAGGCGGTAACTGCGAAGCAGACCATCTCGCCGCCACTGGGCGCACCGGCCGGATGACTACCACATCTGTTCCCAGTTCAGATATAAAAAACATGGGTGAAAACGACCCTTCGAGACGCCTGGTACCAAGAGTGGGTTACAAAAAGGGGACCTTTCTTAAGAAAAATAAAGGACGACATATTCAAATGGAAGGACACTACGAGTCGACGGGAACATCAGATCCTATGTCGGCTCCGATCTGGACACACCCGAGTAACCCATAATATGGGCAGCGCTACATCTTTTCAGAAGTATTGCGACACCTGCAACACTATAATGACTGTCGAACACCTGATCGTTAACTGCCCCTGCTTCCAGAACATCCGGGTCCACAACGGAATCCCGGACAACATACGCAATGCCCTGTCTAACGACCCATCCACGGAAGCTGCTCTAATAACCTTTCTTAAAGATGCTGGATTGTTCGATAAAATTTAATCACCGACCTCCTATACAAAATAACAACGCACCGAACACGGACCCGATTGACTCTAGACTGGATACCACACAACGATTATATGATTACCCTTTACAACGACCACTGCCATCCCTTTTATGAACCGCCAATCACGCTGAACAACCACGAAACACAAACGTTAACAAACTCTGTAAAAACCACTATGTACCAAGGGAACACGCTAAGCACATCTATACCCAGGAGAACTACCGGCGCCGCGGCATAAACCATTTCTATCGGTTATCATTGGATGTGAAAATAAATCCTGGAGAACTTCAAAGTGCCTATTTATAGTAGAATCCAAGTGAAACTTATGCGTCACTAGTGGCGGGAAATAGTACTAGTCGATGGTGATAAATTTATGGCAGCCGGTTTAAATTCCAGAGTTTGAGTGATACATTATTGAAAAAAGAGTTCAAAATAGTGAGATACGAGCATTACTTTGGATTATACATGTAGGAAATTTGTCGAATAATGTAATGTCACAGACAAACAGACATAACACTCACAAGTTGTTCATCGAACAAGCATTTAACGGTCAATTTAAAAGTATCATAGTTGGTAGTACCGCCACCTGTGACGCGCATAGTAAATTCCCTTGCGTTTGACGTTTACACACTACCGCCATCTGTTCAGCGTACTACCCACCACAGTGTACTCAACAGATGGCGGTAATGTTTTAGCGACGATGTTTTACAGTAAGAAATATTCAATGAGTTATGTCTGTTTGTCTGTGGTAATGTTATATTAATTTTCATTACAATGTCATTGAAGGATAATGAAAATGTGTTTTTTGATAAACCGATATTATTTAGGTTATGTTTTGTATGATTGAAATCGACGTCCGAATCAGTCTGCTGGATGATGTTGGAGACTCCGTGCTAGCGGATTTAGAGACCTAGCATATTGTGTGCCTGGGCTACACCAGTAGATGAGCAGCAAAGCAAGAATTGAGGGGAATGGATTTGTTCTGCAAAGTTCCTATCCCGGGGAGCGGCCACATGAAGTTAATCTCAAATTTAATGTTGTCGGGGGGACAACAAACTTTGGAACTTATATTCTTCTGATCCGTAAACAGTGGCAACCTTTCTCCACTGCACGAATTTGTTGCTCCCCGAATTTGGAACTCGAAAAAGTTGAAATTTGTTCTCGTTGCATCCCGGGATAATGCAACGATCCTGCAACAACAATGAGAATGTTAGGCGGTGGAGCTTGTGTTTACGTAGTCTAAAAATTCAACTATTTTCCTGATTGCAAGCAGTGATATCATTGTAGTCATTTGTCACTTTGAAGAAGGACACTTTTCCTACAATTCTACAATCTTTTTGACCATCAAAAACGTACCAAGGCAAGCCAAATTTTCAATTTAAAAAATGAAAATTCTGATATGAGTCACGTTTGACAGATGTTTACATTTTTATCACCGCTACGACAACAGCGCCACGGGTGGGCCGTAATTGGTTGGATTTTACTATTATATAGCATTGAATCGATGGAAATGGTTTCTGCGTTTATTGGCCATCAGATGTCATTACCGTTGTTTGTGGCGACATCTGTCCAAAAATTACGCATAAACGACTTTCCGTTAGTTGTTAACAGAGGATAGTGCAGTCAACAATCCTAGAACTACCTTTCACAGACTACAAAATACAGTACTTGACACTGCAAAACATGTCTGCTGTTTGGTTAAGCATCGGACGAACTACCGCGTGTTGAGGCGACTGCTATTCCACCAGGGAAATGATCCCTATCGGGCACCGCCAGTGCTCAATTGGCATCGAAGAACCTGATGTCGAACAACCGTTACGCCATCCTATAGAAAACGGCGTTGAACCGAAGGTGTAAAAAAAAGAAGAATGTTCTGTCAAAAACGAGCAAACCGATCGTACACTGAGCGAATTTACCATGTCGTCATTGCATGATTAATCATTCAGAGCTATCCGATTTCTTTAACATCGAAAATAATATGAGATACCCGATTGACTGATTATTCAGGCATAACATTTGGGCCCTTATTACCGATGTCACTTCACGGTGAAGTGACAACTTATCACTCACGGTGAAGTGATTCCCATTTGATTAACATGGCAATCACTTCACCGTGAGTGACAAGTGGTCACTTCACTTCATTTTCACCGTGAAGTGACACTCGTAATAAGGGCCGATAACGGCACAAAAGCATTTGTAAACAAACTTTCTAAGGCCCTTTACACGCGAACTAAAGTACGCCGACGCAAACCAGTGTTTGATTTTTTTTATGTCTAAGGCTACGAAAACCTTTAACTGGACATTGGACATAACACAAAACTTTTACAGAAAGTTTAGTCGAATTGCATGCAATATTTTTTATTTCTGTAATTACGTTTTTCAACATAAAAATATCCAGTTGACTCTTCGGCTCACAAACTGTTATCAACCACTTTGTGGGTTTTATAAAATGGCTTGTTGCCTGATTTGACAACAAATACATTTAATTAACTTTCGTATCTGTCACCATGTTAATTAATCAAATAGAAAGAAACGTAAGAAGTCTCAGAGTTGGTTGGAAATGCTAACATGAAGCTTTAGTGTGATGATTTATTAGCTAGAGAATGATCTTTAGAAGAATGTAGGTGGATAGTTCCGTTAGAGTACGGCAGTATGAAAATTGAATAGAAGTTGAAAATGAGCGAAGGGCCATTAATGCGACAGTTTTTCAAGATAGACGCACATTTTTGCCTAACCCGTACGATGTACGCGGGGACTTGAAGTATGTCTCCAAGTCCACAGGCAAAAATGTGCGTCCCTCTTTTTGCTCATAAACTGACTGCGGCTGTGGAATAGTTCTAGCGACGTTTTCATCACTACCTAAAGCCCCACGTCGCGAGAGCATTTCCAGTCGATGGTGTGTTATAATGCAGTTCTTCTTTACCCAACTATTGTGTTGCTCCTCTCGTCATGACCAACGTGATCATCTCAGAGAGAAAGCAGTAGGGTGGTTGTTGCGTGCTGTACCATCATCAGCATTGTTGACGGCTACTCCCGCCTTGAGTTGTTACATTCAAAGTGTTTTTTATGTTACTTCATACGCGAAGTTAACGATTTTCAGAGTTGGCGGGAGTAGCCGTCAACAATGCTGATGATGGTACAGCACGCAACAACCACCCTACTGCTTTCTCTCTGAGATGATCACGTTGGTCATGACGAGAGGAGCAACACAATAGTTGGGTAAAGAAGAACTGCATTATAACACACCATCGACTGGAAATGCTCTCGCGACGTGGGGCTTTAGGTAGTGATGAAAACGTCGCTAGAACTATTCCACAGCCGCAGTCAGTTTATGAGCAACAAGAGGGACGCACATTTTTGCCTGTGGACTTGGAGACATACTTCAAGTCCCCGCGTACATCGTACGGGCTAGGCAAAAATGTGCGTCATCTTGAAAACTGTCGCTTTAATGGCCCTTCGCTCATTTTCAACTTCTATTCAATTTTCATACTGCCGTACTCTAACGGAACTATCCACCTACATTCTTCTAAAGATCATTCTCTAGCTAATAAATCATCACACTAAAGCTTCATGTTAGCATTTCCAACCAACTCTGAAAATCGTTAACTTCGCGTATGAAGTAACATAAAACACTTTGAATATAAGAAGTCTATTTGAAAGATTCCAATTCCATTCGAAGCTTAAATCGGATAGGGGCAACTATCACCTTTCCGAAAGTGGTATTGGTTTGTGTGGGCGTAATTTGGTTCACGTGTAAAGGGCCTTAGAAAGTTTGTTTACAAATGCTTTTGTGCCGTTGTCAAATGTTATGCCTGAATTGACATTAAATGGGATGATTCAGCATACATATCATAAAAGGAAAACATCAACAACTTAATGAACTACCGTTCAAATTTTGAAAGGTATTAACAATAAATGAATTCAAGAACAGAAATGAACTAAATTCATCCAAGTGAACCCCATAACGAAAGTCATACAACAACTGTCATGCGATTCATTTTCATATCGTTTCAGTCGCCCATTGCGTTTTGGCCTACCATTTTTTCGCAGCTTGTTGCGACTCTCTCGAATAGCAGTACCTACACAGTTTTTTTTCGCATACCACGGGGAGTGTCACCAAAAAGCGAACGAGAAAAAAGTTTTCGAATTCATGTGGCAAAAAATATCTGCTCGTTCCGTTCCCGTTTGATTCGAATGCTTCAGTGCCCGTGGA